CTTTTCTGGGCTCTCCATTTGATGTAATTACAAAGATAACTAGCCAATGCTGAGTGGTATTCCAGCGATTAGAAAGGCAGTGGGTAGGGGGAAACCTTGTCTTATGACTGTGCCTGTAGTTACTGGTTCGGAGTTTAGTGTGCACCCTTATTTAACCCAACATCTAGTATTTTTTTTTTCTGAACTTATTAGTAAAGACCCCAAATTGAAGAGCTCAGAGGTGTTAACCTAGAAATGAAAAACTCTGATGCTTGTGAGGCTGACCAGGCGGCTGAAAGTGAAGGAGGCCTCAGGCTGAGAGCCAGGCTCTGATAGGGCCCCTAGCTGCTGGGTTTTAACTTAGGGAGCGAGTCCACTGTTGTCAGGTCTTGCTGTGTTTTAGGAGAAGCTACAAGTGTGGAATTTTTATGTGACATCCCCTAACTTTTTTTTTTTTTTAGATTTGAAGTAGACTCCACCCCCAGTGTGGGGCTTGAATTGAGATCAAGAGTCACACGCTACCACTGACTGAGCCACCAGGCGCCTCACGTCCCCTAATTTTTGAATACTAACAATTAACTGTAAAAAAAATCAGTATGTGCTATAGCAAACCAAACATGGCTGTGGGTCAGATTTCACTCATTTGCCAGTTCACAACTTCTATGGAAGAACTCATTATAAATTCTATTTCCAACCTGTTTCTCTTACCTGATGTCCCTTACCTTCTTCCCTCCTGAGTGCCAGGGAGAGAAGCAATGAAATGAAGAAATACCCGTGTGTTTTACAGCTGGCTCGGACTGTTGATCCTTCTGAGGGACAGCTTCAGTATATAAATGAGGAGGACTGGGTGTGAAACACTTAGCATCAGTGTTTACTCCCCTTTTCCATGGAAAACCACCATTTTTTGCCTGACATGAATACTTCTAACAATAATGAAATGTCTTTACTCAAGAAAATATTTTGTGGGATTCATATTAGGCATAAAGGGGGTTTGGGGGCACCCGAGTGGCTCAGTCAGTTAGTTGAGCGTCTGCTTCAGCTCGGGTCATGATCTCGGGGTTCTGGGATCGAGCCCCACTCTCGGGCTCCCTGCTGCAGGGAGTCTGCTTCTGCCTCTGCCTCTCACCCTGCTTGTGCTCACTCTCTCAGATAAATAAAATCTTGAAAAAAGGGGGGGGTGTTGAAGAAGAAACTCAGAGTTTAGTGGGAAATGATGTGTCTGCTGGAAAGCACTTGAGTGATGGCCCGCTGAAGTGCTGCAAAAGGATGAATGCCTCTTTAGGGAGAGAGCAGAGGGGGATCGAGGTTGGGCAGAAGTGGACCCAGAAGAAGTTAGGATTGGAAGGGATCCTGAGGACAGGATGGTTGTAGGCAGAGTGCAGAAGCAGAGGGCATTCACCAAGAAAGGGGCAGTGTGGCGGAGTTGGAGCTGGTTTCCAACAGACGAGGGCGGAGGGCCCTGGGCCTTCGGGAGCCGCAGAGGAAGAGCACTTGTGGAGTTCTGCTGGGTGCCAGGCTCTGTCTGCTTCCGGACTTCCTGGATACGTTATCTGACTTCATCTGGTTATACAGGCTGTGTGCAGCCTCCTGGGGAGTTGAGGCTTGCAGAAGTTTAGGAATGTGTCCAGGCTGTGACAGGTGAGAAACATGGCAGAGCTGGGGGTCAAACGGAAGCCAGCCTGACCCCCACGCACCTCACTTTCTAGGGAAACTGGGTTGCTTGGAATAGATTATATAGGACATGCAGGCTAGGTCTAGTGCTCCTTTCTGGAGCAGTCCTACAGTAACGGAACAGAAGTAATATGATGGGAACTAGGCATTTTAGGAGAATTTAAAGAAATGCGTTGGTAGGAGGGGCAGCAAAACAGAGAAAACTGTTAACCCAGCTGTGAAGTGATGAGCATCAGAATTTGGAATGGAAGAGAAAAGTGCATGGGACATTTCAAAATGAAACTGATGGGAGGGGCGCCTGGGTGGCTCATTCGTTAAGCGTCTGCCTTCAGCTCGGGTCATGATCCCAGGGTCCTGGGATCGAGCCCCGCATCGGGCTCCCTGCTCCGCGGGAAGCCTGCTCCTCCCTCTCCCACTCCCACTGCTTATGTTCCCTCTCTCGCTGTCAAATAAATAAAATCTTTAAAAAAAAAAAAAAAAAGAAAAAAAGAAACTGATGGGAACCTGGTGACTCAAACTCTAGGGCACAAAACAGAGGAAAGGAAGTTTAATTGAGGTGTATTTGCAGTTAATGAGTCTGTGTTACATCTACTCACTGCTGTTCCTTTGTCATAATTTTAATAATTGGTAATGAATTTTCTTTGCAGTCTTAAAATACTTGATCTTGAGTTTCTTATGCCAACGAGAATTTCTTAGGTAAAAAGACTTGAAAAGCAAATTTTCTCAAGAGCTTGGTTAAATTAAAGCTGCATAATATCTTAAGGTCGAATAAGTGAGTGAAAATTTAAATTATCTTTAAATGAAAAGAATAAGAATTCATGAATGCTCACAAAGTTACAGGTTTAGTAGGGGCAGGATGGACTTTGAAAGTCATTCTCTTTGTTTTTTTAGGAGATAAAGGAAAAGACACTGACCTAGCTGCTTCGTAGATATGTGACCTTGGGCAAGTTATTAAATCTCTTTGAATATCAGTTCCTCATTTTTAAAGCAGGGACATCAGTAGCGCCGACAGCACAGGGTTCCAGAGAGAAATAAAACCGGAGACGTGGCTCTTGGCCCACGGTCAGCTCTGAGTAACTGCTCAGTACCATCTCAGGGCAGAGAGCAGAATTGGCTCTTGTTCTGATTACAAATAGTCAGAGTCAGAAACCACATTTTCTGAATTTTCTGCAATTCATAGACATTTGTTTTTAAATTATACCATGCTAGTGAACTTTTCTGTTTATGTCTGATAATCTCATTCTTTACTGCCTTGACTTTGTAGCTTTATAATCTCACAGTATGTCAGTTAAGGAGTTGTTCTGCGTTCTCATTCCCTTACCTCTTCCCTCCTAGTGCCAGACTGATGGCCCCGCAGAGTCCTTACCTTCTTCCCTCCTAGTGCCAGACTGATGTCCCCGCAGAGTCCTACCTTCTTCCCTCCTAGTGCCAGACTGATGGCCCTGCAGAGTCCTTACCTTCCCTCCTAGTGTCAGACTGATGTCCCCGCAGAGTCCTACCTTCTTCCCTCCTAGTGCCAGACTGATGGCCCCGCAGAGTCCTTACCTTCTTCCCTCCTGAGTGCCAGACTGATGGCCCTGCAGAGTCCTTACCTTCTTCCCTCCTAGTGCCAGACTGATGTCCCCGCAGAGTCCTTACCTTCTTCCCTCCTAGTGTCAGACTGATGGCCCCGTAGAGTCCTTACCTTCCTCCCTCCTAGTGTCAGACTCATGTCCCTACAGAATCCTTACCTTCTTCCCTCCTAGTGCCAGACTGATGGCCCCGCAGAGTCCTTACCTTCCCTCCTAGTGCCAGACTGATGTCCCCGCAGAGTCCTACCTTCTTCCCTCCTAGTGTCAGACTGATGACCCCACAGAGTCCTTACCTTCTTCCCTCCTAGTGTCAGACTGATGACCCTGCAAAGTCCTTACCTTCTTCCCTCCTAGTGTCAGACTGATGACCCTGCAAAGTCCTTACCTTCTTCCCTCCTAGTGTCAGACTGATGGCCCCGCAGAGTCCTTACCTTCTTCCCTCCTAGTGTCAGACTGATGTCCCCGCAGAGTCCTACCTTCTTCCCTCCTAGTGTCAGACTGATGACCCCACAGAGTCCTTACCTTCTTCCCTCCTAGTGTCAGACTGATGGCCCCGCAGAGTCCTTACCTTCTTCCCTCCTGAGTGCCAGACTGATGGCCCCGCAGAGTCCTTACCTGCCAAGAAGGTGCAGCAGCGGGAAGGCAGGACTTCGGTTTTTCCATCTTTACCACTGCACATTGGGATAAACTAAGATACCCTTTTATGGTGGTGGTTCTTTTTGTGAGTCTTCACAGAAAGGTACATTTTGTGGCCTAAAGATGAATAAATAAGGTTGTCTTTTTTTTTTTTTTCTTTTTAAGTAGCCTGTGAAGTCCTTTGTGCTTTTTACCTGCCAAGATAATTGTTGGGTTTTTTGTTTTGTTTTGTTTTGTTTTTTAATAAGAAAGCTCAACTTACAAAAATCATTGTTAATTTGCTGCTGTGCACGGCAGTTGGCTTGGGGAAATTGCTAGTGCTGCGTGTTTTTGAATTTTATTGTTCAGAAGCAGGTATTGTGAACAAAAGCTTGGTAGTTGTATTGTCATTTGTGACTGTTTTTTTAAAGAACTAGAATATTTCCCTTTCCGGGTGCTTGTGATTGCCGGCCAGATGCTGAAAGGTTTATCTGTGCCACTGGAGAAGGTCCCTTCAATTCCGACCTTCTCAATACCATTGTAAAATCATTAATAGGCAACAGAGGATAATGGTGGTTTAGAACAGTGTTTCTCAAGCTCTCTCTTTTTTTTTTATTTCTTCCCTGACAAAAGCCTTTTAAAATAGTTTTTCCTAATTGGCCTCTACCTCCATGAAATTTTAATTCCACAGATATACTGTATTTCTGTTTATGTATTCCATGTATATCTGTGTTTTATACATACAGAGTGAGGTATTTTGTGTGCCTCCTTACCCCAGAGAGTTGGTGTTTGTCCTCTTGAGGTGATACTGTCTGCATTGGGAATGCATGGTTTACAGCAGTGGATTTAAGGACTTGCATATTCTCTAAAATTACTGAGGACCCTGAAGAACTTTCATTTATGTGTGTTATACCTAGTAATATTTATCCTGTTACAAATGAAAGCTGAGAAAAATTGCAATATATTAATTTTTAAAAATATTTTATCAAATTAACCATCCTTTCCCTCACCCCCGCCCACCACCAAAAAGGTTTAGTGAGAAAAGTGGCATCGTTAGACATTTTTGCAAACAGCAAGATTCTCATAGTTGGCTCTACATTTAATCTGTTACAAAAGAAAAACTGGTATCCTACAGATGGGTCATTGGAAAAGGAGGGAATGTTTTAACAACCTTTTCAGATGATAGAGATCTTACACCAAAACTTGGCAATTTGTAGTTTCTTAAAGGGTTAGTTGCATTCTAGAATCTCAAACTGTATGTAAAAAACTTTGGTCCCATTACTTGAAAATTCACTGGTCTTTCACTTCGAGTGGATCCTTTGTTGATGAATCATTTTGTGCCGTCATACATTGGTCCCTGGAAATACCGGTTCTCCGACTCACACGGATCTTGCAGATGTTGATACAGTACCAGGCACTCACGTGTCACCAGTATCACTACTGATCTTACCAGAAACTCTACACATTGGAGATACTTGCCAAGCTTTTTTTTTTTTCCTTGAATGTGGTCCTTCGCAATAAATGCTGTTATTTTTCTTGAAGTGACAGGCTCACTTTGCTCCTTTTTGGGAACATGTCTGCTGTAGACACACTTCTGAATAACCAGACTTTGCCAGTTGTTCCCTGAAATGCAAAACCTCTTCCATGAAAAAGGTGACGGGCAGCTTGCAGCCTGAGCAGTTGAGCAGGTGTCTCTCCTTCCCGCCCTCTCCACGCTTCTGTATGCGGCAGGCGCAGTCTGCAGACTTGCAGTCACCCTGGATACTACCAAGACGTGTGTTCAGGCTCAAGATGGGATGAAGTTGGTTGTGTTGCTGTGAGAGCGTGGTGAGCGGGGTACAGCCAGTCTTGGGGCTGCTCTCCTGATAGGGCTCCCGGCATGTGACCACTGGTGCACAAGGCGACATGGTGGGAGGGGCAAATAGCCAGTTAGCGTTAGCGTGGAAACGCTTCTGACCTCCCTGGGGTCCACGGAAGCACCCTTGGAGAAACACTACTTTCGAACAAGAGCTTTGAGCCGGACTGCCCGAATGGAGTCTGAGCTCCATCACGTATTAGCTGCCTGCCTGACCTTGAGCAGTTACCCTGATAACCAACACCAGACAAACACGCTGTCCCCCGGGAACAGAGGCCACAAATCCCCACAGAATGTTTGCCATTAGCTTTTCTATCCCATCTTTGGTATTTTTTTTCATTTGATACGTATATTTATAGAATTACCAAAGTAGCCCATACAGAGAGAGAGCAGAACAGCCAAGATTGGATTCTGAAGTGATTTGCCATCGTGGAGTAAGAAAGAGGTTTGTCAACATCCCAAATTGTATTCCCGGGCTAAAGTTGTAAATATTCTCAGTAGTTTTAGGATAGTTCCTTTTAAAGGCAAATGCAAGACCAGCTGCCTTGTTTTGTAATCCTGTCAAATGCATTATTGTTCTTGGTTCTGAAATTTGCGTTAAGTACGCCACCCCTTTCAAGCAATTTACATAAAGAAAAAATCTGTCAGTGATAAGCGTTGAATGCTTTCCTTCATTGTTGATCTATTCGGGACAACTTTAGTGGCAAAACCTTGTCCTCATTTGGTGGTTCTTATCCCTTAGGGTCTTTGCAGAGACTTGTCTTTAAATACACATACACCCTTTTTGGAGTAACCTTCATTTCATTTGGGAGGGTTTTTTTTTTTTAAATAGTCTGTATTACCTTCTGTCATGTTACTCATGCCAAAGGATCCCTCACTCTGTGGGAGAAGTGGCACATGGGGCTCTTCCATCTGCTGTGATTGATGACCGCCTGTGTGTGGTTTCCAGACAGCCCTGTGTCATGGCCGCTCTTTCATCTTAAATAAATATTTCGTTCCCAATTAGGCAAGTTGTACCTTCATTTAAGAGGATTTTAAAAGTTCAAAAAATGTGCAAATCAGAAGGCACCATTAGCTTTGCCGTCCTAGGATACATTCTTTTCTGTCCTTCTTGATGACTGTAGATTCTCTTTTTGTCCTGATTGACAACATATCATATATATATTTCACGTTTTGTCTTTTCATTTGTTATCAGCATTATCCTCCCCCCAAAAGTCTACTAAAATGTTTTAATAACCCATAACTTTTGAAAAAAACTCATTCTCCTGATGGTGAGCATGTATTTGAAATTTACCAGCATTATCAATGGTGCTGTGGACCACATCCCTTGTGTGTTGGTCTTTCTTCTGACCAACCCTAGGTGTTCCGTTGAAGACCCTGAAGGGGAGTGACTGATTCTGAGGGCAGTTTTGTAAGGCTCTTACAGTGAATTGCTAAATTGTTTGCCAGAAAGTTTGGGCCAGTTCCTCATTTCCCCCGCATTCTGCCCATTTCTTCCTGTCTTCACCAGCATTGGTATTCTGTAAAATGCTTTTTAAACAGAATAAATTATACAGTTATGCTCAGTGAACTTTGAGCAAAAGTGTTAATGCTTAGAAATTAATAGTATCACATATAGGAAAACATATAATGTATTTCTTATTATTCGGAGTCCATACTGAACTCTAGCTAGCCTTGAAGGGTTTTCCTTAACGTTCTGGTGGTGTGGAGTCTTCAGAACCGAGCTATCCCTAGAGTTGTTTACATTTTCTGAGCCAGTACAGACCTTCTTGTGTAGAGAGGGTTGGAGATAAAAGTTCGTTTTGTATCTTTTGGTCATTATTTTTTCTCTCTACCTTAGCCCTAGGTCTTGAGACAGGTGTATAGAATGATTTAGGGCAGGAGTGTATGTGGGTTTTTGTTGTTTTTTTTTTTTTATAAAGCAAATGTGGATAATGTGTGGCTGCAGTGTGTCTGAATTCTTTACTAATTCTGTGTAAATTTCAGGTGTGCAACAGAGGAACATGGCTCAAGAAACTAATCACAGCCAAGTGCCTATGCTTTGTTCCACTGGCTGCGGATTTTACGGAAACCCTCGTACGAATGGCATGTGTTCAGTGTGCTATAAAGAACATCTTCAAAGACAGAATAGTAGTAATGGTAGAATAAGCCCACCTGGTAAGTAATTCTGTCAAAACCCAGTGGTATTCATCATTGGGATGGATTTGGACAGCACGATGCACCGGATACTTTTTCCTACTCTCATATTGCGCTTATATTTACTGCATTCATATCAGGAAAATTCCTCCCTACATGTCTTCGTTGTCAGCGGTATCCTTACCCACTGAAAGTAACCAGAACAAATCCATTCCACAGCCTTACCTGCTGTGCTACAGAGCTCTGTTCTCTTACGAAAACACAAGCACACTTCGAGTATATGGGGGTGTCTGGGTAAGTCCGCTGTAAAGGAGGGAGTGTTGTGAGGACCTCGGTTATTTTACTGGGACGCCTATTGGAGCCAACGTAGTTGTGGAAGGAAGGAGTGGGTTGCAGGTGGCCCCGGCTGACTTTAGAGAGAGCCATACGCCGTAAGGGAAGAGAGGTGCGGCCGTGTGACTGAGAGCACGGGGTGTTCAGCACTGGCTCACTTCAGCTCCGGGTGCGTTCTGTGTGTCCGAGGGTTCTTTGGGGTCGTGGAAATGGGTTTTGGGTCAGTGGCTGTATTGGAAGGATCAGGAGGATTCCGAGTGTGGGCTTCACAGAGGTGTAGCAGTCAGTGAAGGCTGTTACTTGGTTCATGTAAAATTCTGTGTGGGGTCTTCTCATTGTTGCTTCGTGTTCAAGCCAAAAGCTAGAACCATTTAATCAGAATTTCTCCAAATTTTCTCAAGGCCAAGATCAAATGAATGTAAATTGTTTTTTAATTAAATCACCATCTGCATTTCTGCCTTATGAAGAACAGGGAAAAGAATAACCTAACGTGCTGAGCACAGATTTCAATTCTGAACTTATGTTTGCCTCAACTGCTCCATCTTTTGTTTTTGTTTTTTGTTTTTTTTTAAAGATTTTATTTATTTATTTGACAGAGAGAGGCAGGGGGAGTGGGAGAGGGAGAAGCAGGCTCCCCGCTGAGCAGGGAGCCCGATGTGGGGCTCGATCCCAGGACCCTGGGATCATGACCTGAACCGAAGGCAGACGCTCAACGACTGAGCCACCCAGGCGCCTGTGAATTTTTTTTTTAAAGATTCTATTTATTTATTTGACAGAGAGAGACACAGCGAGAGAGGGAACACAAGCAGGGGGAGTAGGAGAGGGAGAAGCAGGCCCCCCGCAGAGCAGGGAGCCCGATGCGGGGCTCAATCCCAGGACCCTGGGATCATGACCTGAGCCGAAGGCAGACGCTTAATGACTGAGCCACCCAGGCGCCCCATCTTTTGTCTTAAATGCTTTGTGCACTAGTACTTGCAAGATGTGTGTGAATTCAAGGGTGTGAGTGACCCGCAGTCCTGAGAAGTAGTTCAGTTTATTAATATATACAGTATGTATGTGGTTTCTTTCTGGGTTTAAATTACCTTTTTTCCATTGGAAAATTATTGAAAAATTTTAAAAGTAATGAAGCAGCATATTATAGGTGTGGTAAGACAAGATTTGTCTACCCTAGTTCGCGGATAGCTGTTCTCTATTTTAGACAAGGTGTCGGAATGCCCAGAGCTCAGAGTCCCTAATTCGCAATGTGGTTCTGTTGCAGCAGCTTCTGTCAGTAGTCTGTCTGAATCTTTACCCGTCCAGTGCACAGACGGCAGCGTCCCGGATGCCCAGTCACCGCTAGACTCCACGTCTGCATCTGTGCAGCCAAGGTAAGACCCAGGCTCCGAGTGCCGGTTGGCGAGCTGGTGACGGAGGAGGCATGTGTCCTCTGTCTGATCAGTGCCGTGAAGGAGAGGGAGGGCAAGTCCCTGTAGGTTAGCCAGCCTAACACTGCATCTGTCTCACTACTGACTAGTCAGAAGAGGCTTCCTGCTGAATTCAGATGCTGGGTTCTCACCGGGGCCGGTGTCTGCGGGGGTCAGTGCCTGTGGTGCAGGCCCCTCTGGGCTCCTCGCTCCCTGGCTTGGGCCATGCCCTCGCTTCCTGTTCTCTCCGGAAGTCCCGCCATGTAGAAGCCTGAAAACACAGAAGTACTTGCTTCCCTTGTCCTCTGCTATTAGGAAACAAGGATGACGTTTCTACTCTAGTCCTTTCCCCAGTTCGTGATGGGGGACACCCAGTTCCGCTGCCCAGCACGTCCTTTCCCGCGTTGTAACCCGGCTCCTGAAGCCGGGTGTGGCCGAGCTAGTGTTCGTGTGGTGAATTCATGCACAGAGACCACTCACTGTTGCTCTTATTGCTAATGCCTTGAACTTCTGGTCCAGACTGGTCTCTGGGTTCATGGCGCTCTGGTTAATGCGAAGTTACAGAACAGTATCTCCGTGTTCATTCTTATAATGATGTGCTTAGATATGTTGAACTCAGATTTATTACGTCACTCTGGTTACTGTTCCTGCGTGGAGATGATCATTTTGTAAATCTACGTATTTTTGCTTTTCTAGCCCTGTATCAAATCAGTCACTTTTATCAGAATCTGTAGCATCTTCCCAAGTGGACAATACATCTGTGGACAAAGCAGGACCCGAAACAGAAGACCTGCAAGGTTTGCACATGAGCTAACTCACTTCCGTCATCCATTTAACAGCTGAGGATTACAGGCCAGGCACTGTCCTCGGAGCATATATTCTTTTAAATTGCCTGCCTAAAATATATTTTTATATTTATTTTCTTTATGAGCAGAATATTTTATATCTTCAAGTATTTAATGGACTGAAATGTTGGGAGCCACTTCACGCTGATACATAATTTATGTCGTCGATGTAAATGTAGAAAATTGTAAATTTGTTTAGTTTGAGAACTAAGTGAATGAATAGTGGTATTATACTGTTCTTTTTTACTGTTATTTTTACCAGTTTAACCTAAATATTATTTGCCCTGCAAGCAACTACGGCTTCGGCTTAGGGGGAATCTCTTACCTTTTGACTCGGGTCGTTAGACCGTTGGACGTGACTGGCGGTCGTCCCTCTCTCCCCGTGTGGGGTGCGAGGGCAGCCGTCACGTTCAGTTTCTCGTCTTCGCAGCACGGTGCCTCTTGCTCTTGCCCACACTCTTTCCATCCCCATCATGTGCGTCAGAATGATGTAGGAAGGCTTTCTCGGCGGCAGAGATGGTAGAGAGACTGAGGAGACTGGTAGATAGCCTGTGCTCATGTGGAGACACTGGCTCACTGAAGAAGGACACTCGGGAAAGGTAAGCCCACGGCTGAGCCTACGGCCTGGCTTAGAGAGAAAAGCTCTCCGGGCCAGCGAGACCTTCCATCGAACATGGTGTCCGCATGGTAGCGACAGGTGTGTCTCGTCATCTTAGCTTACGTTTGCTGAAGTTTGAATGTGGCTGAGCTGGCTAGTTCCCCTTGCTCTGAGTTCATGCCCGAGAAATGATTAGCATAGTTGGCCTGTTTGTAGATTTTGCTATAGCAAGAAAATATACTGTCTGGCCAACATCAGTATTCTCTTCCATGCAGCATATTATTGTAAATTAATAACCATTACAAGTGAAAATGTCTTTTTGTTAAAAAGAAAAATTTTAGGAAGGGAAGAAATAGAAAAATCCCTAAGATTTACTTATCCCTGGGGCATGGGAAGTAGGAGAAGGGTGGTAAAGCTTTTGGTTTTGTGGCCGGCTGCTTTAGACAGGGGGCTCAAAGGGGTGGTGTGGCCAGACAGGATGCGCGCTCAATAAGTTGGACGGGATCACATTTCAGAATTTGCTCTGTTGGAGGTTGTCGATAGATAATTGGTATTCAGATGTATGATGAGTATTATGTGTGCTATTTGGATGTCCTTGGCACATGTTGAAAAATGAGGAGCTAAAATTAGGAGGAGCAGGTTGGAGGACGAGTCAGCAAAGGAAGGAGAAGTCATCTGGGCCCTGGTTAATTTCAGCCCACAGGTGCCCACGTCGGAGAGTTTCTAGAAGCAAGGGTTGCTTAGCAGTTTGGGAAGAGAGCTAAGTAAGGAAAAATGAAAACAGGCTGCTAATCATGAAGATGTTATTATCTCACGACGGAACAAAGTTTAGAATGTTGGTCGTGAACAAAATGTGTGCCGCTTAAGGATACGGTAGCAGTTACTGTACAAGTCTGACAAAAGATGAAGAGAGGTTGGTCACCTATGACCGTGTAAAGTGCTTTTATACCATTCGTGGTGTATGGAGAACAGGGTAGTTTTCTGTACCTAGCCCTGAGGACAGGAATGCAGAAGGTGGTCTTGAAGCTGTATGAGGAGAAATCATAAGGGGTTTTAAAAATTTAGACTCCTTTTTTCATGTATGATTTCAATGACTTTTAAGGTTAAACCAGTATTAGCTTATAAGTACCTCTTAAAAACTTAGCATTCATTATTTTAGCATTGCAGAATCTTTGGAAAATCTGGTATAAGTTTCATCTGAGTTTGAGAGGATTCATTTTCAGTGCATAAAATTTCTTAACAGCCTAGTTTTTGAAAAGGTTTTGCTTATGCTGTTGAATTAAGAATGTCTTCTTTTATTGTAAACGTGCACAAATACAGGTTTCCCTGCTATCCAAAAGTAGAGCATTTTGGTGAAACGTTTTGTAAACTAAAATGGTGTAAAGAGGCGATTACCATTTCATAAAAGCGAAAATTCTCTTTGGCCGATATCTTTGTTAGCAAAAACAGGTACTAATATAGGTTTTTCATAAACGTGAAGTGCATATAGCAGATTCTCAGTAGCAGGGGAAATGCGTGTGTGGATGCGTGTCGGTGTGCACGTACACTCATAACATAAACCTACTTGTGATTTCCCTGTTGACAGAAACAAATGCAGAGAGTATTTTCTTCCATCTCTTTAGTGGATGGACAAACACTGACAGAGAAAAGTCTTGGACTCCAGTGCTGTAGTCATTTGACCTGGAGCTGGAACCCGGGCACCCGACTCCAGGCCAGGATTCTTTCCCGGACAGTTGTCGTGCTCGCTAGCCTGGGCCATGCAGCCCCCCCGGCCAGGGTGGTGTCGTCTGCCTTGACCAGCCAAGTATCTACTTTCTCCTGTATTATTCCATTTGCATCCCTCAGGGAAATTGATTTAGATGGGAAGATCATCCCGGGGAGAGGGTTCATGAGTAGCAGCCATGCATCTAAGCCAGCATTTCCTAACGTTCTTCATTGGAGTTTTCCGATAAGCGTCCTTGGAATGGCTTCTTCCTCTGTAGGTGTTCTGCTTATAATTAGGCTGTGTTGCCACCAGGCGGGTGGTGCTGAAGAGTGTCCTCGTGGCTCTGAAGAGTTTTCCTCCTCTTTGAATGTTATAGCATGTTTCTCGTGTAATTATTCTTCTAACTTAACAAGCAGCAATACCCCACGTAGTCTCACTTAGGAATGTCAGATTTTCAGTTCACAAAAGCTAGTGGGTTTTTTTGTTTTTTTTTTTAAAGATTTTGTTTATTTATTTGACAGAGAGATAGAAAGAGCACAAGTAGGCAAAGAGGCAGGCAGAGGGAGAGGGAGAAGCAGGCTCCCCACTGAGCAGGGAGCCCGATGCGGGGCTCGATCCCGGGACCCCGGGATCATGACCTGAGCTGAAGGCAGACGCTTAACGACTGAGCCACCCAGGCGCCCCACAAAAGCTAGTTTTAAAAACATCTTTTAAAGTGTTTCGGTGCACTTTACACCATCGTACTTGATTGCCTTCCTGCACATTGTGCTTCACTTTGGTTAACCTCTCAGTCCCTCAGATCCTGAACCTTAGGAAAAAGAAATGGAATTTGGATCAGAGGTTCTATTTCCTACCTTCCTTCCTTCCTTCCTTCCTTCCTTCCTTTTGTTTTTTAAAGATTTTATTTATTTATTAGAGAGAGAGCATGAGCGGGGAGGAGAGGGAGAAGCAGACTCCCCGCTGAGCAGGGAAGGGGGACTGACCCGGGACTCGATCCCAGGACCCCGGGATCATGACCTGAGCCGAAGGCAGGCGCTTAACCAGCTGAGCCACCCAGGGGCCCCAGAGGTTCTATTTTCATTTGTTGACTCCCCCACTGAGCCATACTTTTATTACTTTTAAAGGAGAATAAGTAATAGCCACATCCACCTTACAGGGTGCTTTAGAAGTCACTGAAATGATGGAGGTGGAATGGGTTTTATACACCACAAAGGATATTCTTAGTCTGTGCAATGCCACAGGGATGTGGCAGTTACAGGAGGCTTAGGATAAGAGAGACTTGTGAAGCTTCCAACAGTAGCACGAGATGAGGTGCTGAGCCCTTCATCAGTGACGCATTCTAGGAGGACTGAGTTATTGTCAGAACGGTGGACAGGGATTGTCTCCTAGAGTTGACAGAGTGAACTAGATTCCCCAGACTCCAATTCTTAGGGATCCTGACTTCATACAGAATTGAGTGGACAGCTCGGTGGCTCAGAACAATCCAAGAGGAACAGTCCCGTTAGACAAATTTGAGAAAGCTGTCTGGATTAAAAAGCCGATTTCTTCTGATTTTAAAGTCTGGGTGAGAATAGCCAAACAGTCTTGGAAAAAGTAGAACAGAGCTAAGGAAGACTAACAATTCCCAGTTTCAAAGCTGAGCACAAGCTGCAGTAACTGAGGCTACAGATGCAGGCGTGAGGACACTCCTGTGGATCGCGGGGGTAGGACCGGCATCCAGAAATACACTCTGACAGTCACGGGCAGTTGGTTTTCAACAAATGTGCCAAGATCGTCCAGTAGGGGAGGAGTAGGCTTCAGCAGGTGATGATGGATAGTTAAAAGGGTAAAATTGGACCTCTACTCACACCTTATATAAAAGTTTACACCAGAATACTAGAACATAGGAGCCAAAACTGTAAAACGTTTAAAAGAAAAACAGGCGTAAGTCTTCATGACCTTGGCTCAGGCAGCGCTTCCTTAGGTGGGGCACCTGACGCACAAGCGACCAGAGGAACACAGACACACTGGAACCTGTTTGCTTCAAGGGACACCATCAAGAGTGCGAAAAGGTAGTCCACACATTGGGGAAAATATTTGCGAATCATAGATCTGATAAGATTATATAACGAATGTTTTAAATTCCAACAGTAGAAAGACCAGTTCTTTAAAGGGCAAGGATTTGAATAGATGTTTTTCCAAAGAAGCTATGCAAATGGTCAAGTGTGAAGGATATGGAGAAATTAGAGCCCTAGTGCATGGTTGTTGGGGACGCACAGTGGTGCAGCTGCTTTGGGAAACAGCGTGGCAGTTACACGTTGAATTCAGAAAGTCAGAGAGTTACCCGTATGACCCAGAAATTCCATTCCTAATTCCCAGGGGTTGAAAACGTGTCCACACAGAAACGTGTGTGTTCACAGTGTTCGTAGCAGCATTGTTCATAGTTAACCAAAACGTGGCAACAACCCAGATGGCCATCAGCAGGGGACTGGATAAACGAGATGTGGGCTGTCCATACTCCGGAGTGTTCCTCAGCCGGGAAGGGAGTCGAAGTTCTGATCCTTGCCACAGCAGGGATGAAAACATGCAGAGTACAAGAAGCCAGGCACGGGTACCACAGGCCGTGTGGTTCATGTAGGCGGGAGGCAGGTGCAGTGAAGAGGGCCGTCTGCAGTCGCACAGGCCCCCCCCCGGGGGCGGCGGGGGCAGCACTTGCTGGAGGGGCCTGTTCAGCAGGGCTGTGCTGGGACAAAAGCCGAGAAGGTTGTTTAAAGCAGCTCATGGAAGAGTCCTGAGGTACTGGGTTCTAATCCATGGGTAGGGGAGAGAGCCTTGTGAAGGCTGGTTGCTTTTTTGTCTTTTTTTTAAGGATGACACAAAGTTGTATTTTAAGAAGATTAATGTGACACTTCTTTGTTCCCAGATAGCTGCTAATAGAAACTGCTGTCCTGCACAGAGCTGCTCTGTCCAGAAAGGTGGCCGCTGGTCTTGGGTACTACTGAGCCCTTGAGAGGCGGCCGGTCTGAAGTTAGTTTAGTACATACTTGTTTGCTGGTAGTGTAATGTATATGTAGGTTTCAGAGACTGAGTATCAAAAAGATGAGAAATATCTCACTAATACTTTAAATACTGATTACCTTTTATTTTTTTTTTTTTTTTTTTTTTTTTTTTTTTTTTTAAAGATTTTATTTATTTGTGAGAGAGAGAATGAGAGACAGAGAGCATGAGAGGGAGGAGGGTCAGAGGGAGAAGCAGACTCCCTGCCGAGCAGGGAGCCCGATGCGGGACTCGATCCCGGGACTCCAGGATCATGACCTGAGCCGAAGGCAGTCGCTTAACCAACTGAGCCACCCAGGCGCCCCTGATTACCTTTTAAATGATAATATATATTAATTTTGCCCTTCTATACTTTTTAACCCAGTGGTTGGAAAATACATAATTAAATCTATGGCTTGGTCTATTTTTTTGGACCCTGCTATACTGTAAGGCTTATTTTTCCCTTGAATATTTAAAATGTCATTTTGTAAAGAATTTTTGAGCTAGGAATAACTTAAAGATCATTTGGTTCAACCCCTCATTTTGCATAAAATGAAGTACAGAGAAGGAAAATGAATGTTCTCCCAGTGGGTTGTTGGAAAAGTGTATGTTCATTCAGGAAATGTCTGTCGAGGGACCACTCGGTGTCAGCACTGGGTGTAAGTGGTGAGTAGAAGCCCCCAAGCACCGAGCTTCGTCTGACCTCCGAGGAGGGGGGACTGGTCCTACTGTGTGAGGAAGACGTGCGCATTATTACGTTACGTGGGGATTGTGTCTGCTGTCAGATGACTCCCAGTTGTTAGTATTCATCATGTGTATTAATGTGCTTCCAAACAAGGGTAACAGAAGTAATGCTAGATAGTTTATATACTTATTGTTATATTTGTGTACTTTTTTAGCAGGACCCAGAACCAGAGGGCTTGTGAAGTATCTTAAAATTACTGGCCAGTAGACTTTGTCTAGTTGGGATTTAAGTTTACTTCCCAGCCTTCATGCCTAGGCCTCCCAAACAGACCTTGCAGACCAGCAGATAGGACGTAGGCGGCTGCCTGTTCTCAGTCATTAACAAGCAGCTGACCTTGTATCCAGTTCTCCTGTCACACTGTGAGAAACTGCCTAGTTCTGAGGACACTTCTCATTTTGGCTTCAGGTTCAATATGTTTATGGCCCTTTTAAAAGACAGAATTGTTTCCTTTTACATGATTAAGAGTTTGATAAGGCATGCTTTGGTCTTAAATCTCACATATAAGGAAATGGGTAATTTCCGGGAATCCTAGGCGTTTACACAATACTAGGTCATCTTGCCCATGAACTTGATTTGGTGAATGTTTCAATTCAAGCTGGCAGTCGGTAGCTGGAGGCAAGCGAAGGTCACCTTAGTCTCATGGGGTCATGAGTGGACGATGATCAGCCTCAGATGCTATCCCTCGCTCACCAGCTCTTGGGCTGCCTGTGGATCCTTAACTCTAAAGGTTGTGCATCTGCTGTGGACAGAGCATTAGGACTGAGACGTGTGTGTGCAGGAGTGTGGGGGCGGGGCAGGGAAACGTATCTTCACTCTCCTCCATTTCCAGATTCCAAAGTTTGTGCCTCAGTAGTTCACCTGGTTTTGTTAAGGTTTTCTTGGAGTTTGTGTTGTTGCTGTAATTTAAGCATTGTTTGTGTAAGTTTGTGTGACTATCACAGTTGGGAGAACAGGTTGGATATTATGGCTTACACATTTCAGAGACAATAAACAGATTCTTTTCTGATGGCAAGTTAAACTATTTTTGAGCTCTTTACACATAGCAAAATGTTATTTGATACTGTTCTAGGAGCTGTGGATAAAATAAGTAAGCAAGATGTTCAGCCACTACCATCATAGAGTTCACATTCTGAGGTTATTTATTTATTAATAATAAAAGGTTTTATGTGTCCATAATCTGTTTAAAATGTTTATATTAGCACAGCTGTCTCCCATCTGGTTTCAGAATTTCTAGGTGGAGTTTACTTGTTTGTGGTGTTTTGTCTTTGTCATATTTTGTTAAAATGGGAGCTAATATAGTTAACATAAGCAGATTAGAATCCATTAGGTCAAATGCTTGTGCATTTGCTGTGTATAGGTCATTGTGATGGGTGCTGGAGATTCATATGGGAAGTAAGATACCACCGGCCCTTGGTGGGCTCACTTACCGTGGAATTGGGGCAACTGGGGCACATGACTGCAGTGGGTGAGTAATTAAGGAATGCAGCTGAGCAGGTTTTGTGAGGCACCTGCCCTGTGGTCGGGGTGCCAGCGCCGGCTGGAGCAGGAGTGGAGAGGACAAGCTCCTGCGCTGGAGGAGCTCACTGCTAAGCCGGGGGAAGACAAAGAGGCCGTTCCAATAGTGTGGGCCTTACTAATGGGGCACATAGGAAGGTTCCTGTTGAAGTCGTTGGGTAGAGGATGGAGTAAGAGTTGATGGTATAAGCTTAAACAAGAAAGCCCAATTCGAGTAAGCCAGGGAGAGAGTGGGACAGGAGGGGCGTGGGAAAGCATTCCACACAGAAAGGCTGTTGACAGAAGGCCAGAGATGAGAAGACTTTGTATGCTTTGGATTGGTTGTAAATGGTGTGAGCAGAGGGCTGGCTCCACAGTGGTTGAGCAGGAGAGTCCTCGAGGACTGGATGCTGAGAAACTCAGAGGGCGAGAACTTGGCTGCAGAAAGTCGTTGCTTTAGAGCGAGATGTCATGTGTGCTGGGTCATGTGACAGACTCTGACTCCGGTGACAGCGTCGGGAGGGCCAGGGGATGAGGGACAGGAGGGTTCACATTGGTTCAGATGTGGGCACAGTGCTTTGACCGAATCTTGGTGCAGCTGGCCTTGGTTTTGCTACTTACGCACGTCCATTTATTATCCTAATTATAACATTCTAATAAATTTATCTTCCTAACATTTTAAAGGTTTTATGTGAAACATTCTGAGAATTTTAAACATAGTGTTCCACCTAATCTTGGTTTCAGCCCTTTCTGCCCTTGTTCTCTGAGGAATCTACATAGTTCTGACCCCAGCAATATTTCAGAGTTGGGTTGTGGCCATTTTCTTACACACCCCCTTAGAATACCCAGCTAGTATTTGCGTGGGGGTCAAATACATAATTACTAGAAAAAATAGGGAATACCGCACTAGACCTCTGGAGTCACCATTAACATACCAGTATATGTTCTAGATTCCTTGTGTGTGCCCATGTGTGCACACAAGTGCATAACATAGGTACATAGGTTTAATGGAAAGGGTGTTGTATTAATGTCTACTTTGTAATTTACTGTAAGCATCTTTCCATGCTAAGAGATTCCTCAGTTATCCGCCCAGTAACAGATCACTACTGAGGGTGGGGCAGGGGGACAGCCACCACCCAGTATTAAAATCTTACTGAATGATTAAATTTTACCACCTTCCTGTTTTTGTCAGCTTCAGTATCAGATACGGCACAACAGCCATCTGAAGAGCAAAGCAAGTCTCTTGAAAAACCAAAACAAAAAAAGAATCGCTGTTTCATGTGCAGGAAGAAAGTGGGACTTACTGGTAAGGGCCTAAATCCAATGGTTTAAACTTAAGATTGTATTTTAAAATAATGCATGGCTTAGTGTTCCTGGCTTCAATGCAGATCATTTTTGTTCCCATGAGAGTTAATACTGGATATACTTCAGCTTCTGAATTTTCTTAAATAAAGTAGCTTTAATTATATACCTGAAAGTGAAATGAATAGATTTGCTTTTAAAAATTCATTCCAGCTGGGTTTGAGAGCATTCGACAGGTCGGGTCACAGTGCCAGGTGCTGTGAAAGGCATGGCTCCTGCCGTGGCAAAGCCGGAAGCTGCGGAGGAAGGGGGTAGTTAAGTACTTGGCAGGCCGAGAGGTACTTTGTCTGCGTAGAATGGCTGATGATGGTGCTCGTGAGGGCCCAGTGAGTTAGCCCTTGTGAGGCGTCAGCCCCCCGCTGCAAGACTGCAACAGAGCTGTTAGACGGTTCTGTTACTAAGAGAGGAAGAAAAAATACTTGAAATATTATCTGGATATTTAGCAAATGAAGTAGATTGAGTACAGTCAGTGGATTACTTTGGGAGTTCAGGGACAGGTATCCTAATTAATTCATGTAAAAGAAGGGGAGTAGAGGCCCATCACGGAGAGCGTCATGGAGGCAGCGTGTTTCAGCTGAGTCTTGAACGATGAGTAGGACTTAGAATGGATAGAAACAGGGCCATTTCGGGCAGAAAGATTAGCCTGAACAGAAGGTCGGATAAAGGAAAGAACGGGGCGTGTTGAGGGGCCCGAGCTGGGGAGGGCGGCAGTAGCACATGGCCTGGGAAGAGGGGTGTCCCCTGAGAAGGCTGCTGCCGTGGGCTGTGCCCCAAGGTGGGGAGCACGCGCAGCTGGAAAGAATCCATTTATTATCTGTTGTGTGCCTGGCATTGTGCTGAATACTCCACAAAAATTTGACTTCAGAGCTGAGAAGAGTAGATGAGAGTTTCAGGATCTGAGGAAGGTTTCTCTGGCCAGGGAACAGGTTGTAGAGAAGGTGGAGGGTGGAGTGCAGTCTGGTATCAAAGGTGTTGAAGACTGGCCCATGCTTTGGCAGATGTGTTTATTTAAAGAATACAAGCATGAACAAATCAGGTATTTTAAAATACACATGTTTAGTAACAAATAATAGTCTTTCTGCATCTCAGACACTCTCAGACTTCGTGATTGGAAGGCTGAGGCGTAGTAACTTCCGTCCTGTCCAACCTGTCAGCCTGGTGTTGCTGTAGGCTTCATTTTCTATTCCTTATCATGAAGCTACAGAATATGTTTCTGAAGCAAAAACAAAATGTGGTAGAGGACACTTCCATCAGATGTCAGCATTCGAAATACTGATTCCTCTGCTCCATTTCCAACAGTTCCTTCCTACCATAAAATCTTAATTTTGGGAATCAGGACGGGTTTGATATGGACTATCCACACTCTCTCTTTCTCTCTCTTTTGGCTTCAACTCTTTGGGCATGTCCCTAAAATAAATAGCATTTATGGTATGCTTACTAAATGTTAAGCGTTTAACACATTCCTCATTTAATCCCTATAGTAATTTATTATTTCAAAATTACAGATGCAGAAGCTGAGGCTCAGAGGAGCTAAGTAATTTGCCTGCATTAGTAAGCGGATTCACGCTCAGGCTCTGGACTCCAGGCCCTGCTCTCACTCAGCCAGCAGGAGCCGGGTCGCCTCTGCACTGGGGGTCTGCCCGGGAAGCCAGGGTGCGGAGCGTGCTGTTTCTTAGCAGTTCTCCCAGCAGTCTCGTTACACCTTCGCTTAGTTCAGTTTTCAGGTTGCCTTCTGAGGGAGTGCTTATTTCACATTTAGAATGTGGGCTTGAGAAGTGTCTTCCATGCAGTGTAGCAGTCCTGATTTTGCTAAGAAGTAGTTGTGGTCACATCACAGGTGAAGAGACTGAGCTCAGGAGAGAAGCGGCGAGGATCCGCTGGGCATACAAGCCTCTATTTGTAGCTAGGAATAAAACGGAAGCTATCAACTAGTGAATTCTGGAAACGTTACTGGGTCCTGAAACTGTCTGGAATGATTCTTCAGATGGCTGCCCCAAATCATGATATTTTTAACATTAATGGTACTAAGGAACTTAACAGACCTTCCATCCAACTCACGTGTGTGTACTGATCATTTTCAGGGTTTGAATGCCGGTGTGGAAATGTTTACTGTGGTGTGCATCGTTACTCCGATGTACACAATTGCTCTTACAATTACAAAGCTGATGCTGCTGAGAAAATCAGAAAAGAAAATCCAGTAGTTGTTGGTGAAAAGATCCAGAAGATTTGAACTCCTGCTGGAATACAAAATCCTTTGACCATCTGCAAACTAAAAATTGACTTGAGGTTTTTTTTCCTAGTCATTGGGAATGTAGAGCAATGTATCTTGCATAGACCTTTTAATCATGCATGTCATCAGAAGAATAGATTTTTGTTTTTGTTTTGAAAATGACTCTGAACATTTATTTCCATTGCAGTTTCTGTGGCTGAAAAGACTTTAAGTAAACTTCACAAGTATTATCCTTTTAAGATCATTTTAATTTTAGTTGAGTGCAGAGGGCTTTTATAACAAATGTGGAGAAATTTTGGAGGGCCGTGATTTTTCCAGTATTAAACATGCATGCGTTGATCTTGCAGTTTATTTTCTCATTGTGTGTGTACATAGCTTTTCTCTGCAGCACGATCTCTGTCGATGGCGCCCCTCAGGGCACAACTAGTTACCAGTCACTGAATGTATCTTCATCCTTACGGCTGCTTCTGGGTTTTCATTAACAAAGGTTCTGCATATGTTAGCCTATGGTTTCTTTGCACCCACTATTTATGTCTGAATCATTTGTCACAGGAGAGTGTGTGCTGATGAGATTCTAAGTTTGTGTGTTTTTAAATTTTTTTGAGCGAGGGAAGGAAAAGCTGTATGCATTTCATTGCCGACTGCAGGTTTCTTTCAGATTACGTTCATCGGTCTGTGTGTATACAATATGAAGAATGATCTGAAGTAATTGTGCTGTATTTATGTTTACCCACCAGTCTTTGATTAAATAAAAAGGAAAACCATAACGTTCCCTTGTATTACTTTCTCTGCTCTTCTTTCTGGTAGTTAATTTCGACTTTTGGTCCTTTAGTTTTCTACTTTATTAATTTTGTACAGGTCCTGCTACTGTTCTCACATCTATTTGTGTCTGATCTTATGACGATAAATTGTAATCTTAGATTCCTTTGAATTGAAGGGGTCAGCATTTCTTTAACACCAAGAACTGCTTTTTGTCACATAGATATCGAATTTTCTAGCTCTGTTCTACATCCTGTCACACTGAGTTAGCATCTGGTTAGGAGCTCCTTTTTCTGGTAGAATTAGAGAAACTGAAAGGGCATAATTCAAACATGGCAGCTGGAGGATTGTGGACGAGAAAGACCATTTGTCCTGTGGTTTTCAGACTTCTCTGGCATACAGTCTTTTTTTAACACAAAACGTAAAACAGGTAAAAAGCAGTATTTTACAATACAAATTTCTAGGTTTAAATTTGTTTACCACTACTTTACTTGTAAGTTCTATCTTAGTATGTAATGTTGGCTTAGCATGAAAATCTGTAAATGTAATCTATTTAAATGTTATCTGTTAATTTGTTACATGAACAGATTAAAAAGAGAAAACTGTTCTCACTAGCCCAACAGATTTATGTTAAGTATTGAACAGAATTTAACACCCATTCATGATGAGAACTGATAAATTAGAACTAGGGAGCAATTTCTTTAAGCTGATAGTTTCTGTGTAAAACCAAACAAACAAAAGAAAAAGCAAGCATCCTCCAAAAAGAGGAAACTCATTCTGTTTTAAAGTCAGAAACAAAAGGCTGCCTGCTGTCCCCTGCTTGAGTTCAGAATTGAGTTGGGGATCCTGTATTCAACAGAGTAAGTCAAAACAGAGGTTCCTAAGAAGGAGAAAGGAGGAAACACTCGATATTTGCATGCATGTTCAAGGCCTCTGTAAGAAAAAATTCTCAAGTATTATCAAGAGACGATAACTAAATACCTCAGTAAACCGGGAGGGAGACATGTTAATGGCTAGGAAGACAATATAAAGATGTCCTCTGTCCCCACATAGACCTGTAAATGCAAAGCAATTCCAGTCAAAATCCCACCAAGTTTTCTCCTGGAACTTGTTAAAGCAGTTATAAAGTAAAAGGTAGCAAAGGGCTAAGGTGTCTTTGGAAAAGAAAGGGCAGGGGGGTGGACACTTGTCCTGTCAGATGCTAGGACTCGTTCACATGAAGCCATGTTAATTAAAAGAGCTTGGTATTAGCTAAGGGATGTACACATTTCCCAATGGGATAGACCAGATTGCCCGGAAAAAGGCACGCACAGACTGAATTTCGGTCTAAGAGGTGGCATGTAACATCGGGGAAGTTAATTTGAAAATTAGAGCTAGAACAATCGGTTATCTGTGTGGGAAAGGATGAAAATTAACTCTTTTCTCATGCCAGAGGAAGTTAATGTCTTAAATGTCACACAAAATTTTCAAACTTGGGGAAAAGGTAAAGATAACTACTTCTTTGGCCGTGAGATAGAGTACTACTTAAGACACAAAGCATTAACTGAAAGTGTTATTGATAGATTCTGTATTAAAATGAGGTATTTTATACCTAGGAATAAACTTAACCAAGGAGGTGAAAGACCTGTACTCAGAAGACATTGGTAGAAGAAATTGAACGTGATACAAATGAATGGAAAGATACTCCATGCTCATGGATTTGAAGAATTAATATTGTTAAAATGTCCATACCACCCAAAGCAATCTACAGATTCAATGCAATCCCTATCAGTACACCAGTAGCATTTTTCACAGAATCAGAATAAATGATCCTAAAATCTGGAGCCACAAGAGCCCAAAAAGATCTTAAACTATACTCTGACAAAGCAAGGGCAAGAAAAGCAAAAATAAACAATCGGGACCACATGAAACTAAAAAGCTTTCACACAGTGAGGGAAACCATCAACAAAATGAAAAGGCAACCTCCGGAATGGGAACTCAACACCAAAAAAATTTGATTTAAAAAATGGGCAGAAGACCTGAGTAGACACTTTGCTGAAAAAGACCTATAGATGCCCAACAGACAGAGAAGAAGATGCTCCACCTCATCAGGAAATGCAGATCAAACCACAATGAGATACCACCTCACACCTGTCAGAACGGCTAAAATCAACACAAGAAACAGCAGGTGTTGGCGAGGACGTGGTCCCCTCGTGCACTCTTGATGGGAACGCAAACCGTGCAGCCACTGTGGAAAAGAGTATGGAGGGTCCTCAAGTGAAAATGAAAATACCATACGATTCAACAGTTATACTGTGTGGAGTATTTACTTAAGGAAAACGAAAGCTAACTCAGAAAAATAAAAGCATTGTTGTTTATTGTAGCATTACCTACAATAGCCAAGATACAGAAGCAACCTGAAGTGTCCATCAAGATGAACAGATAAAGATGTGGTGTGTATATATATGTACACGATGGAATATTAGTCATAAGGAAGAAGAATGAGATCTTGCCCATTTGCAACACCATAGATGGACCTAGAGGTGATTTTGCTCAGTGAAATAAGTGAAAGACAGATACCATAGGATTTCAGTCCTATGTGGGATCAAAACAATGAACACACAGAACAGAAACAGATGTAAACCACAGACAGCAAGCTGGTGGCTGCCGGAGAGGGGGAGGTGGGTAAAGTTGGTGATGGGGGGACAAGGAGGTACAAACTTCCACTTACAAAATAAGTCCCCGGGATGAAAAGTACAGCACAGGGAACATGGTCAATACCATCATGATAACTCTGATGGCAGATGGTGACTGCACTTAATCGTGGTGAGCATTCTGAATGTATATGAATGTCAAATCACTACGATGTCCACCTAAAACTAATACAGCATCGTGCGTCAGCTATTTCAATTTTAGAAAGAAAGGAAAATGAGGTTATTTTATGCACTAATATATTATTTAAAGTATCTTCAAAGAAAGAGAAAAGATGAGTTACAAATTGGGAGAAATTACAATGCAGATCAATACCACAGTGAGATACCATTTTATACCCACTCAACTGGCAAAATTTTAAAAGTCTGGCAGTATATATCGTGTTGGAGGGATCCCGCGTAACTTCTGATAAGCTGCTGGTATTAGTCAAAAGTGGTTCAGTCCTTTAGAAGATTTGGTGTTACCTTTTATTTTTTTATTTTTTTTGAAGTTTTTAAGTAATCTTTGTGTCCAACATGGGGCTGAAACTCACAACCCTGATAGAGTCACTTGCTCTTCTGACTGAACCAGCCATGCGCCCCGGTATTACCTTTTAAAGTTGGACTTTCACACATCCTGTAATCCAGAAATTCCAGTCCTCAATGTATACCCAAGAAAAACCTGCACATAGATAACAGGAGACATGAACAATTTTCATAGCAGTGTTTACAGAAAGCAAAAACTTAGAAAAACCCAAGTCCCATTGAAGAGTGGGTGAATAAAATACGATATAATCTTATAATAGAATATCATACAGTAATCAGAGCTAGTGATCCTGAATGACACAGCAACATGGAAGGCACAGGAAGCCCTAACTTAGAGATATAGTGAGCAAAAAAGTCAAAATATACGACATGCTCACCTATAAAGATTTTAGTAAGATACACTTACTTGTGAGTCCTATACATGGGGTTTAGATGAAGAGAAATGTAGTGATGAAAACTAAGGATGGTGTGCTTAGAAGGGAGGAGGCAAGGGATGTGTGCCACGTGGTCAAGCCCCCCAGCTCTTGAGAGTCAGTTCAGTTTTGTTTGTTCGAAGTAGACTCCATGCCCAGTGTGAAGCCCAATGTGGGGCTTGAGCCCATGACCCTGAGATCAAGACCCGAGCCCAAATCAAGCGCTGGATGCTTAACCGACGGAGCCACCCGGGCACCCAGAGAGTAAGTCCGTTCAGGATGCTTACACTGGACATAACTAAAGGCAGACCGTGTGTGAACCAAAGATTATGACCTAATCCAATTTTCTGTACCCAAGTTCCAAATTATTATTTATAAAGCCGTTTTGATGAGCACATTTTGAAATTGAGGGTTATAGGGGCTCCTGGGTGGCTCAGTCGTTAAGTGTCTGCCTTCGGCTCAGGTCATGATCCTGGGGTCCTGGGATCGAGCCCCGCATCGGGCTCCCTGCTCAGCGGGAAGCCTGCTTCTCCCTCTCCCACTCCCCCTGCTTGTGTTCCCTTTGCACTGTGTCTTTCTCTGTCAAATAAATAAAATCTTCAAAAAAAAAAAAAAAAATTGAGGGTTATGTATGAAATGGGCTGTTGAATCAGCCCCAGCATTCAATTTGTAATTTACCTTTTTTTTTTTTTAATAAAATTGTCACAAAAAATCCACACAAAGTATTCCGGCTTCACTTCACACCTAAATATTAAAGCCATAAATCACAAATTGTCTTGTAGTTCAGTCTTCATATCTAATTTGTTTGGGATTTCTATACTCAGGCCTTGCAAAGTGTCCTTTCCCCTAGTTTTCCTGGAATGCTAACTTCTGTACTGTGCAGTGCAATCTTGAAATTATTCCTTTGCTTTAAACTCGAGTCTCAGAAGACCTGTTTTTCCTCATGTGAAGATGGCTTATGCTAAAGTGATAATGGCTAGACCTCCCCTTTTTTCATAGGTTGTCTAGAACATCTGAATAGATACTCTTGGGAATTTGGGAAAGGACTCCTGTAGTGTGTTGTATCTTTTAAAAGGCTGGCTTCCTGGCCTTGTTTTTCCTCTTTTATTAACACACAGCATCAAGAGTAATTCAGAGAGTCAGCAGAATGGAGAGTCAGGAATGCAGACATGAAATGGATTTCTCAGCAACGTCTGGAAACCTCTGTAGAGGGTAGCCTCCCAGAAGGCCACGGACGTCTGTAACATCACGCAATGGCTCTCAGAAAGGAGAGGCCACTACGTATCCCGCGGGTATTGAGAGAGTAAGGGAATATTATGAATGACTCTCTTTCCTCACAAATGTGATAACTTAGATGATACAGACCAATTCTTTGAAAGG